CCCCCGCTTTACCCCCTTTTATTCTACGTTAAAGGGCCCCACGTTTCCTCCCAAAACTTTCAGTCTGCTCCCTTCTTCACTCCCAAAAGATGGTATCCCCCCTGGCCAGTGGGATGAAATTACCCCCTCCCTTTCTTCCTTAAAATTTTAAAAATTTCCCCAAAAAAATTCTTTGCCATCTACCTAAACCTTCCCCCTCCCCATTCTATTTAAATCCCCCCTCTGTTTTTTAACTGACAAATCCCTACTTTCCCAGGTTTCTTAATTTTTAACTCCTCCCAAAATTTTTTTTTTATTTTCATTAAAAATTTTTTGGGCAGTTGGGCCCCTCCCACTTTTTTATCTGCTCTCCTTTTGCCAAAACCCCCACCACTTTCTTACCTTTTTTTTTTTCTCTCCATTACTCTGTCTTCTTTTAAAACTTCTGCTTTGGAAAAAAAACCCCTTTGTAAAACTACCTTTTTCTCTTTTATCAAAACCCCTTTTCATTCACATTCCACCCAAAAACTCCTCTTTTTTTCCTGCCCCCCCCCTCCCCAAAACCACAAATTCGCCCCCAATTTAATTCTGCATTTTTAAAAAAAAAAACCAACCCCCCTTTTAAAACCCCCCCCCCATCCTCTTTGCACTAGCCCCCCTTTCTGCCATTTGTCGCTTATATTCGCCCTAACTTCCTCCTCCCCTTTGTTTATACACTTTCACCTCCCTTTACTTTTTGTTGCCCCCTTCCTTTTTTCCCATTACCCCTTCCCTCTAACTGTAGTAAAAATAAATAATGATCCGATATATCAGTTGCCCCCTAAAAAACTTGTACACCCCTGGAGCCTACCCACCCAACCCCTTTTATCCCCCAATACATAAAAAAAAATTTTTACTTTCATTACTTGTTCATCATCCCTTTTTATATTTATTTTCCTCTTTTCAAAAATATGTATTATTATTCCCCAAATTTTCTTTTCCATAGCTCAATTAAAAGGTCCCCATTTAATTTCCCCCCGGGGGCCCCCAAAAAATTTCCCTATTTCCCCCTCCATAACTTTTTTACCCACTTTAGCATTAAAATTCCCCAACCATTTTTTCTCTCACATTTTGATTCAAAACCCCCCACCCCTTTTTCACTCTACTTTTCCAAAATCTCTCTTTTCTCCTCTACACTTCTCTCTTCTCCAGGTGCATACCGCTTACAATACCCAAATTTTAAACCCATTTTTATTTTACTCCACTTTAACCCTTGAATTTTACATTTGTAGTCCCTCTTTTCCTGGCCCTAGCTTATCCTTCAAAAATTATTGCTACTCTTCTTTGGGTTAACTCTATTTGAAAACCCCCGACCAATCCCATTTATTCCCCTCCATTTAAAAATCTCCCACCCCCTTCAGCTTTGTTTCACTTTAAGCCAGGGCATCCCGTTTTTTCTCATTCTAACATCCACAATCATCTCTTTTTTTATCATTTGCACAAAAATTTCCCCGCACAATTAAAACTTCCCCCCTTTGACAATTTTTTTTCTTCTTATTCTTTTTTTAATTTTTTCAGGAAAAGGGGTTTAGCCCCTTGTTTCCCGGGAAATTTTTGTTGACTTTTACAACAGCCCTGGTTCGGAGGAAAGATTTTAAAATTTCCCCTTCCCAAAGGTTTTAAAAGGAAAAGTAATTTTGCCCAAAAAACTATAAGATTAAAAAACAAAGGGAAAAAAACCCCCCGTTTAGTGGGGGAAAAAATTAAAAGGGGCCAAAGTATGTGGGAGTGGGGAACCCAAGGGTAAGTAGAAGGGAGCCCAAGACGTACCTGTTTCTTGGGATATTTTTGAGGGCGACAAAAAAAAAACCCGCAATCCTACCATTTATGTTAAAAAAAATTACAGGCTTTCGTTTTTTCACTCACTTGGGAGGCGGTAGTACCTCCTGGGTGGTTGGGTGCTACCCAACCCACAATTTTTAAAATTTATATAAAAATTTTTTATATTTTTTTTATATATATTTTTATTTTTTATATATTTATTTATTATATTTTATATATTATATAATATATTTTTAAAATTATATATATTTATATAATTTTTATATATATATATAAAATATATATATATATAAATTTTTTATATATATTATTTATATATAATAATATATATATATTATATATGTTTTATATATATATATATATTTATATTATATATATATAATATATATTTTTATTTTTATAATATAATTATTTTATAAAAATATATATATATTATGTATATAATATTTTATATATATATTATATATATATATATATAATAATTTATATATGTATATATATATTTTTATATATATAAAATATATTTATATAATATATATATATATATATTTATTTTTAAAATATATATATATAATTTTATATATTATATATATATATATATATAATATATATATATATATAAATATATTATTATTATATTTATATATATATATATATATATATATATATTTATATATATAAATATATATATATTAATATTTTTTTATATATATTTTTATATATTATTATGTAAAAATATATATATATATATTTTATATATATAAATATATATATATAGGGTATATATATAATATATATTATAAAATGATATAATATTTTATATATATATATATTTTATTTATATATATATATTATATTATATATTATATATATATTTTATATATTTTATATATATATTTTTATATATATATTATATATATATATATATATATATATATATTTTTATATTATAATTATATATATATTTTATATTATATATATATATATATATTTATATATATATATATATATATATTATGTATATATGTAAAGAAATCACTGATGGTGGGAAATTACCATCAGCTAAAGGAGCAAGCAACTCGCTCCTCTAGCTACAAATAAGCAATTACTAGCAGTTATTATATAAATGGCTTAAAATGCCAGACAGTGGCTTCAGTCCACTACTTCTCACCCTCTTACTCATTCTGCCTCTGATACACACTGCATCTTCGCTAGTTTGATCTAGCATATTACATCTTTAGCACATCCTACCCTACAGCACTGTATGACAATTGTGGGTTTAGCGTTTTATTTTGATTGTATTATTATTATTAATCATCAATCCAGTACAGAGAAGTACGGTGGAACATAGACTTTGAGGTGATCAGTCATTTATTGGGTCATCTTACCTTGGTAGGAGACGGCCAGTATGGTTAAAATACCAGGCTGCAAAGCAAAAATCTGCCTGTCATTTTTTGTTGCTCCTATAGCACAAAGGCTTTATTTTTCTGTATGTTGTTGTAGAGGCTCTTAACTTGATATCTAAATATCACACACGTGTCATCTTAATACTTTGTTCGTGGCTCTGCTCAACGCTATTCCATTACACCCGCCTTTCTTTCCCTACACCAGAAAACTTGTTGCACACTAAAATTGTTACCTGTCACTTGCATGTAGGCAGTATTTAAGACTATGCTTATGCTTAGCATTGTTTCAGACAATGAAGCTAAACAGTTTTCCAGGCTGAGGGACTGACCACCTCAAAAAGCATTTCTCCAAAGTTGATGCCCGAAATGCCTGGCATGATAGCGACTTTATTTGTACTTAGCAACCAAAATAGTAATTACACATTGTAACCTTTACAAAGAAATAAAATCTTTATGGACTGATTTTTTGTTATGCCTGTTGCCTCTGCATTTGACTAAAGAAATCTACTGCATAGGCTAATCGTTTCAATCAGCAAAAAAAAAAAAAAATATATACCCATCTGTTGCACCTATGTCTTGCTCTTCATGTAGACTTTTTCATGAATAAATAGTAAATTTCATTAAGAGGTGTTCTTTAAGAGCCTAATGACTGTTGTCGTCCAATTTTCTTTTTTTTTACCCATCAGTCAGCTCTCTTAATCCCATGTCATAAACATTTGTCAGTTACTTTAAAAATAATAAAAAGTTTCCCTTTTTTTTATGTTTACTCAGTGAAAGATTTTAAAATGTATAGAAAAAAAAGCTATTGGAGTTTTTATTAGTATCATTTTGTTTGTGAAAATGCTAAACCCGTAGGGGGCGTACAGCTCCTGAGGAAATGGGAGGCTGTCATCCTGCCTGGGGAGGATGACAGCTCCAAGAGCTGATATTAGGCTGTATTCAAGAAAGATAATTTAGGAGACAGAAAAGAGGCTTGATCTCATTGAAAATTGCAGTGTTATTTTTTTGGTGAAGTGCCATGCCACAAAGGTCATACGCCTTGAAAATCACACAAGACTTCCAAATGTCTGCTAGATTGGTCACTCTGGTCCAAGGGATTGCGTAGGTCGGACCTAGTTACATAATGATCAGGTAAAGTGAAGTAATTGATGTGAAAGTAGACAGTGACTCAGATATCACGAGCTATGTTCAGCAGTTCCATCGAAAAACCGAAAACTGTGATGTAGAGCAGGTTAGGTGATGGACAGCAAGTTGGGCAACACAATGGGGACCACTGTTGCAGTCGTCTGATACAAGGATGGGTATGGGGTGCATAATAAAGATATTAAACTGACACTCGCCCATGGCCTATGACCCTTGGCAGTAAAATCCTGGGTGCTGTTAAATTACATGAAGAGTAATCATGTCCCTTAAATATGCATCACTCTATATAAAGCCTTAGGAATTAGCTAGCCTGACAGAAATCAGATTGTATGTTGTCCAAACAGTGGAAGGATCAGTTACAGATGCATGCTCGCTGACCTTACTGCTTATGAATGCCATTTATGGCTGGGAGGAGGAAAAAATGAAGGGCCTTTGATCTAGTGATTTGAAGATATACTTTTTCTTCCTCAGATCAAAGCTGATTGCTTCCAGATTCCCAGGCACTGTATGACCCCTATGGGTTTAGCAGTTTCCCAGGATGTAATATTAATGCTGAGTGGTAAACAGTCAACAATGGCATATTAGATATATGCTTCAAATATGAAAAAGATGCATCTTATCACTTTCGTATATTTCATTTGGTTGCAGCAGAATGTCAGTGTTGAAGTTGACCCAGCATCAGTGATGACCCCGCTGACTGTCCCAACAGAGACGAGTCTTCTGCATGAACTGCTGCGCTACCCGCCTCTCTGTGCTCACTGCCAACGACGACTCTCTAATGACTTATTAGATACTCCAAGTATGCTGCAGCCTCTTTTCATTCATAATATTGGGGGAAGGGGTGCCAAAGTATCGGTTTCATTGGGTATCAGATGAAGCCTGCACTGCAGCAGTTGAATATGATGGTACACACTCCTGGAGACTTCAGCATTGGTGGAAGAGCAAGTAGATGAAGTGGGGAGGTAGTTTGATATAATTAGTACTTTACTCTAGGTGAAAGATCATGCTCTTAGTCTAATCCAGAAGCAGGTGGTGGGTTGGCCAGGGACTTATATACAGGAAAAATGAGGTATAGCAGCTTGGAGATGAGGTCATGAGTGAACTGATGAAACCTGAAGCGCAGGCAAAACAGTTCAATATTCTTGGTGCTGCACATGATCTTACCCGTCTGTATTGCGTAATAATACTGTAATTGTAAATGAGGTATTTATCCCTTCAAGATTTCTCAGAAATGTAGTGTTAAATTTAGATAGATGCACTTTATTTGCTATAAAAAGTATATTTATTGTCAATATACTTTTTTTTGTAAATGTTTTATAATTATAGAATTGACAGTCTCGGTCACCAAGGCCTTGGAGACAAGACTCCACGACACAGACATCACCTAGAATAAGAATAAGAAGTTTTTGACATGATATATGGTTGTACAGAGGAATACAGTAGTTAGGTGTACATGCCAAAAGCCCCTTTGTATGCAGAGCACTTCGGGCAAACTTAAAAATTAACTTAAGATTGGAAGGCAATAATAGTTCATATGGTCATTAGCTAAGTTACAGTGAGTACAAGAGAATTAAGTATTCTATTATGTAATGTTACATGGCTTTGATAAATCTAGTAGAGAATAATTACACTATTTAATTATTTTATAAAGATTACATTATTACAATTTAAAACAATTTACAATCAGTCAATTTTTATTTCCTTGCAAGATTACATTGAGATTTGTGAAATTACAAAAATGAATTGCAGTGCAAAGAGAGCCACTATCATGCCTAGGTATTATGGGCAGACTTAATTTAATGGCTTACAGACTACATAATACTAAAGAAATTGAACATTGTTTAAGTTGTACATCTTGTATATTTATAGTACACAGTAATTTTACTCAAATTACATTAGTAAATATTGCGATTATATTATGGGAATATAACACTGCGAGTTGTTGAAAATAGTTTACAGTATGAGAATGCAACAATTGGGTAGTAATGTTTTGGGTAAGTATTTATACTACAAGGCATTTTTAATCAATATGATGTATTACAATTTAGTACTATGGTGATATCTCCAAGCACAGCAGCACAAGCTCTTCATTCATCATCACTGGAAGAATCTTCTTCTGAATTACTGTATGATGCATCACTAGCAGAAAGTGTGGCCATACAACAGTGTGGAGAGGTATTTGTAGGCCTTTCATCTGATAAAACTGCCAATGGTATTCCCAGTGACATTAACCAAGCCAGACATTTCTTGTGGAACAGGTATTGTTTTGATGTTCCTTTTGTAGATCTTGATAATAACAAACCTTTGTTTTTATTACATATTTATTTTTGGCTAATGATAATTCTTCCCATACTTACATTCTTAAAATCATGGGTAAAGTGGCAAACCGATAAGTGTTAAACAGAAGGGGAATGGGAGGCAGTCATGTTCAATCCAAGGAAGGGGAGGATAATTCCCCTCCTTGGATCAAATGTAGTATGAAATGGCAATGGTTAATCAGTTTTTCACCTATGCTTGGTATAGTCAACTTTGTTGACTGCTTTTGACTCTCCCAAGTACAGTAAGCTCAGTATTTTCATTAGTAAATAGTGAAGATATTTCCTCATCCAAATTTCCGTGTTGTATGACTTAACTGGTTTTGTGAATTTTCATTTATAAAATAAACCAAATCTGTTTTTTTTTATCTATGTATTTTGATTGTAGTTTCCTCTGACAGATCAGTAAACATTATAAATTGCTATAATATTACTACATTTTTTAAAACACGTTTGCTTATCCCTGATTTTAATTGTTTAAACTTACCACACATGCACTGAAAAGCTATAATTAAGGTTATGCATGTTGTACTGCTTTATAACCTTGTTGTTTCTTGATTTTTTCTGAAGACAGGATAGGTCAGTCTGAAGATGCATAAGATTATTCATGGAAAATTGTACTTACATTGAAGTTAAATAATTGAGTATGGGGATAGTTTACTATTCTTAAATCTTTGCTAAATAACCAGGTAAATTCTTATATTTTTTCAGTGTCAGGAAGCAGTGTCCCATCATGCCTCGGTACTCAACCACCATCATATACCACCCAGCCTACCACACTACCATACAACTACTTCCTGTGTATTACACTCAATACACCCACCACACATGCCACATCTACCACACGTATCATACTTTCATCCTTCAAAGTCGGGACATAAAAACCAAAGCTACAATAAATGTAGAACCAGTTACTACATCCAGAGGAATTCAGGAAAGCCATCTTGATCAACACCAGATCTCTCAGACTCTGCTTCAACAAGACAATCTACAAGGTACAAAATACTGCACATCAGAGTCTGTAACACATGACATAAGTAGACTGCAAGAGAGCCAGAGTAATCTTCTACAGGATGATACACATAATGTGTGTGTTAACCATAAAAATCCGTGCAAGAAGGAAGTACCCACTGCACCTGTAAACCAATCTTTAGGGGAAGGAGCCTTGAACATGCCAACCCTAATTAATAATAGTACATGTAAGGTATGATATGAAATTCCATACCTTGAGTCTGTGTTGGTACAATGTAAACTATGATATTTTGTAAATTTAAAGATTGTGTGACTTAATTGTTGTAGATGCGATAATTTTATGAGAAACTGTTATCAGTCCTTACAGTAAAACACTTTTCTATGTAATATTTTCAGTCACAGATGGATCCTGATGCAGCATCAAAACAAATAGTTGAGATTGTAGACAAGGGCAGAAGAGAAATGTCACAAAAAAATTCAATAAATGATTCATCAATGGTAGTACCTCCACTGCTGCATCCCTACCCTCAAAGAGACAAAATGTCAAAGTTGAATGTTGAAGAAAATAAAGGGTGCAGGAACAAATATGAGAAGAAAGTTGAGCCACAAGCATCTAGCAATACTTTAGCAGGAACACCCCTTGTGTACTGCCCCTCCAGGATGTTCAAGGTGGTGTTCATTGGAGACAGTGGAGTAGGGAAGACCACATTTATCCACAGGTATAGTGTCCCCTCATTTTCTGTAACTTACTGTTTTTTACTTTGATATACAATTTATTTAAAAAATATAAAACCTATAATACTTTAGGTTTTATGCATAAACACAATTTTACTACATATAAGCTCTCTGAACTAATGTCTTCCTTATGAATACATTTATATGTGAGATGATTTTCCTCATTAAAGCATGTACAGTGGTACCTCAACTTTCGAACAGCTCCTAACTCAAACAATTATATAAGTGTATTTTTGGGGGTCTGAAACAGACAAATCTAATTTACATTATACCTTATTGGAACAAATTTGTTTGGTATTGGCACTGAACAGCCTTCTGAAACGAACTGTTCATAACTTGAGGTACCACTGTACTCCTGACCAAGATATCCTCTCACTGTCAGACTAATTATGGCAGCAGACTGTAGCCCTACTTGTTTTTCACCGAAATGTAATTTCTCACAAATTTTTCCTTCATAAAACACCCTCAGTTGCATTACCCTCTCAAGCACACACTTATTCATGCTAGTAAAACAAGGTAATACATTTATACAAATCTAAAATTCAGGTTGTTGAACTGAGCAACAGAAGTATATTATCATGAATTAGCATTAAGTACAAAAGTAAATAAATGCATATACTGTAATATAATAATACATAAAGTGTGAGAAGGGTAATATTTAGTTTAGAGATTCAGGGAAACCGGTTATTTTATATAGCCAGACCCGAGTCCTGGAAATAGGAAGTACAATGCCTGCACTCTAAAGGAGGGGTTTGGAGGGATATATTGTGTATTTTTATACGTACAGTATATACTTGTAAACTGTTGTATTCTGGGCACCTCTGCAAAAACAGTGATTATGTGTAAGTGAGGTGAAAGTGTTGAATGATGATGAAAGTATTTTCTTTCTTTTTGGGTCAACCTGCCTCAGTGGGAGACGGCCGACTTGTTAAAAAATAGCAGGCCATTTATATTTAAATAACACTCGATGGAGCCTTTTCTTTCAGGACCACTCTGTGATGGGTAATTCAGATGAGCCGAGTGCTAGCACACTCGACTCTCACTGAAGTCTGTGGTTCGATTCCCGGTGCAGGTGGAAACATTTGGATGTGTTTCCTTAAGATACCTGCTGTCCCTGTTCACCTATCAGTAAAATAGATCCCTGGGTGTCATTCAACTGGTATGGGTTGCATCCTGGGGACAGAATTGACCTAATTTGCCTGAAATGCTCTGCATAACAAGGGGGCTTTCTGTCGTGTCATTGATGTCAGCTAGGAGTGTATATCTTGTACATGTACTTGTAGAAATAAATATTATTCATTTCATCATTTCTCATTCATCTTTTAGCACTAAATAAGTCATATAGGTTGAGAGTTCGTGTGATAATATTAGACAGCTGCTACTTTCCCATTAATGTATTCATTCTTGGAAAACACTTCTATCTAGATGATAATGTTTATCAATGTAAGCCAGTGTCCCAATCCTTCACTTTAGTATTATCATTGCATTCATGGGTAAAAATTAAATCCTGTAGGGGCTATACAGTGCCTGAGGAATGATAGATTAAAGGGAAGGATGACTCCAGTTCCTTTGCCCAAGAGCTCTGCAGCTGAAGCATGATTTATAAATGATGCTGCATAATCTTTATCACTAAAACTGTTGAGGTTAATGCTCTTGCCATTCATGTATACAAAATGACCCAACTTTACTGAGAATACATGTATTATTATTCATGATGTAGTGCCAAACTAATAGTTGTATAGCTTTGGAACATGGGAAAATTGGGTTTGATCCAAGGAAATGGTAACTTCCTTAGTTCAAGAATGTTTCACCAGCATTAAGTCACTCCCCTAAGGAGCACAAAGAACATATAAAAATAGAGAAATCCCAGACACTTTTTATGCAGTAGTATATAGTCTACCTGGAAATACTGTATAGTAGTACTACACTTATAAATTCAATAATAAACCTATGGAATTTGTAAATTGAAGGTATGTGTTCTGTACTGGTGTTATCTGTTTAATTATAACCACTAGCTTATTTTTAGTTTTACCTATTTAGACCTGTTTCAAAATGTCTAAATAGGTAATTGTGTGAATTTTGGGTGGGATAAAAAGCTACAGTGCCCTTCATATACATACTATAAATGCCAATTTTTAAGTACTATATATTTCATTGTGATGGAGATTCCAAGTTTAGCTGCAATCTACATTCCTTTGCAAACCAAATCTGCAGGGCCTACAGGGGAGAGTTTCGTGGTGACTTTGGTTCCACAGTAGGGGTGGATTACCAGACACTGGAGATGCAAATGCATGGAGTATTGGCAGTGCTTCAGCTGTGGGATACCGCTGGCCAAGAACGTTTTCGTTCCATCACTAGACAGTACTACAGGTAAGATGACTGTATGACCTTGTGGGCTTAGCACTTAGTTTTGATTATAATAATAATACAGGTAGGATGAAAGGTCTAGCACATATATACAAGGCTTCCATCAAGTAATATGTCACATGACTTTTCTGGTAATCTGTTCAGAATTGAGTATACAGCTTGTAATGGAAGTTTGACACAGCTTGTTCCTAGTTTTGTCTTAAGACAGTATAAATATTAGGAATTATTATTAAGATGACTATGAGGCCATTTACTGCTGATCACTATTAAGTTTTTGGAAAATGTCAATGGATGTACATATTGTAACTACCTTTTCTCTCAAGAGGTTCCTTGATTGTGAAGGGCTCTTGATCTAAGTAATTGAACCTCTGCAGCTCTCTTGGATCAAGCCTAGTTGCCTCCCATTTCCCAACTGCTGTATGGCCTCCACAGGTTTAGCACTTCCGATGTGAATGTAATGTATATAATCACCAGGAAAGCTGATAGTGTGGTGGTGATGTACGATATCACCAGTGAGCAGTCATTTTTGAATGTGGTGGACTGGATAACCTCAGTGAAGGTAATTAAGATTGTTAGTACAGCAATACGTATCATCATAACAAATTATGTAGAATACATATATCTTTCACAAGCTGCCTCTTCTGCTTGGCATCAGCTAACATATGCTATACTACTGTAGCTTTGGAGACAGTGCTCACTAGCAACTTCAGTTTAGTCCAATATGGTTTCTCTATTTCATTTTTAAAATGTGATGTTTGACCCCAATAAAACTGCCATGAAAATTATTGTACATTACAGGAGACTGCTGGGGATGAGGTGATGATTGTCATGCTTGGGAATAAAGTTGATCTGCAGGAACACCGGTGTATTAGTCAAGGCATGGTTGACAAACTGGCCAAGGTACATCAATATAAACTTTATTTATTCTATTTGTTTATGTGCTAAACCCATTAAGGTTACATAGCTCTAAACCACAGACTGCATGTTAAAATAGTTTCTCCATTTCATATAGGGCCAAGTCTAGGAAAGGAGGGATATTGTTATTATCAAATAAAGTAAACCCTCAGTTTAACAGATAAATAAGGAGAAAAGTGACTGGCTGCAATTGTAACAATAATGGAGAGTTCTTTAACCAGATCAAATGACCCACTGGATTTTATCCTGTATTTCTGGAATCTTGTTCAGTAGTTTTGTTAAATTGAGTAATTACTGTTTTAAATATAGTTGCTTTTAGTCTAGCTAAGGATCTAGAGGGAAAAATTGTGTGGAGATGCTTAGGGTTCATTATTGTCCAGTAATTATAATTGAGAAAGAGCACTAACACTGTAATGGTTATATAGCACCCAGAGAATGGGAGGCAATCAGATTTGATTCAAGGAAGAAGCTATTTTGTACACCTTGGATCAAGAACCTCTCACCAGCAGCATCATAGGCCTCTGTTGACAGGAGGCACCTTGATGCCTTGTGTGGAGCTCTTTATTCAAGGTATTTGTAATGCATTATAAGTACAATATTTTGTATGGAAAAACACTATTACCCTAGTAATAATTTGTAGATTTTTTTTTGTCTTGATGTTAGATAAGATTACAACATAAAGGCTAAACCCAAAGGGGTCATATAGCGCTTTGTTAAAAAAAAAAAAAAATTCTGTGATGCATGAATCAGTACTCTTTTATAAAGAAATGTTCTTATTAAGAACTGACTAGTAGCTTTATATGCTCACTTTAGTAGCCACAGGACCTCTCAAGAAAAGTGCTTGATGGCAGTGAAGGGTTCACAACCCATTGAATTGGAGCTGCCTTTCATACCCCACGAGCTGTATAAACTCTCACAGATTTAGTGTTGTGTTAGAAAACTTTTCAGTCTAGCAAAAAAAGAATGTTTGCAGGTGTATTCCTCTAGGAAGGTGCTGTTGACCCAAGGAACTGGGTCAACTTTACCTTCCTTGGATTGACCCTGAATGCCTTCCATTTCTCAGGTGCATTGTGGCCCACTACATGTTGAGTGCTTCCTCATGAATGAAATAGTGGGTGTATCATTGGGATATTAACACTGAATCACTAAGTATTTACATATTTTGTAATTATTACCTTCCCACAATATTTAATTTTTTAAAGACAGAGGAGATGTAATTTCATAAACCTAACAGTCATTGTACTGATTGTGTACCTGTCCAAATGGGTGTGTTGTTTAACTTTCTCATGGGTATCAATTTTAAACCATGTAATACCAGTACTACAATGCATAAAATACAATAATTTCAGCATATATTTTAGAAGTGTTTATGTAAGAACTCTGCATTTTAACCATAATTCTCATCTTTGGGATTAAAAATATTTGTCGATAAGCCTACAGCCGGGCCCTGCTCATACAGCTGGTTAGGTTCCGGGCTCCTCCTGTAAAGTTAAATATAGCCTTTTTGTTTTTACTTTCAAATGCATATAAAAGCCTGATAGCGTGTTGACACTATCACATACGGGCACTCGACGCTTAACCTACCCTTTTAATGACTGCTCGGACATGTGACCAGCAGGTCTGCATACAGTACACTACTGTATAAACATTTAAAAATATACTAAAATTGTTATAAATGGTGCATAGGTATCATTAAAACAAGATCTAAAGATGGTTGACACAAATCCAGTACATTATGCTTGAAATATCGGTAAGGGGCGGCTCCTCGCTTATTGACCTAGTCATGGGAATGGAACTCCTTCATTAAGTGAGGAATTTGTGTATTAAGTGAAGAATAGTTCTAAGCCTAAAAAATGCTCATACAGTACACGCATTACTTAAAATATTTTTGTACTCAGCTTGCAGAGAGTGGTGAATACACTATATTTTATGACAAACAAGATGCTCTGGTATCAAGAATGCCCCCCCCCCTTCATTTTGATTATCTTTTTTTCCAAAATTTAGCCACAATACTTCAACCTCCAAGATGCTGGATAAATTTTTGACTTATTTTGGGGGAAAAAAATGTGTGACAAATATTGTAAAATGTGGCATTTATTGCAGGAAGCCTAAATAAGTGAATGGGTAACTGAAAACTACTGTATAGCGGGGCCCTCCTGTATTACGTGAAGACAGCAGCATTGTCCAGTACCTCTTTGATAGGAGGGGATAAATAATAAATTAAAATAGCTTGACATAATATACTGGGTTTTATGTTTATTTAGGTCAACAACTGCCTCACATTTGAATGCAGTGCAGCAACAGGGAGTGGAGTGCAGGATGTCATGATGCATATAGCAACTTTGCTCACCACCCAACAAGTGCGTAATACTCCACTTGAAACTTCACTCATGCTACAAGACTCATTCGACAAAAGAATATGCTGCAAGTAAATTGCCTACAATTAATCGTCTTAAGATTTTTCTCTGTCCAAAACCATGCTGTCATTTTAGTGATTACTACAATAGTTTTGATTTAGTTTTACATATTTATTCATCAGTTTTCCTTACACTTTGTGCTGGTACTAAATTTCCTTGGTGAGATTCTCCTAGTTTTCCCCATTTTATTCTTTCATTACAGTTGATAGTCAAATAGATAAGCTTTGGCAAATACTTCAAATTCTCCTCTATAACCTCTCTATGATTTTATATTCTCAGTGGCTGAAGTTATTATTATAATCAAAAAGAAGCGCTAAGCCACAAGGACTATACAGCATCAGTGGCTGTGTATGTAGGGAAAATATGCACAAGTCCTGCCTCCTTGAGGCTGAGGATGTAAAGCCAAATAATTATCATAGCAGTATTACAATGTTTATTGCTACAAAATTATATTTGATGTAATTTTATAATTTCAACAATACATCATTGATTTGGATAAATAATTTATTATGTATAGGCCTTTTGTACAAAAATATTTTACATTGATTTCAACATGTCAGATACATCGACATTTATGATTAAGGCATATGTGCAGATACTTAGGACACTTGATTATGGAAACATTTCAGTCCTGGAACATTATTCACTCTAAACATATGTAGGGCTTAGGAAATGGCTCGTTATTAAAATATGCTGGGTAGACGTGCCCAGGATACCTTAACATCGAAATAATACCTGACCTTGTTTGGCGTTTCAATACAGCAAAAATTAATTCTGGCCTGGCAACATGTAGTGGGACGTCAGGGGATTACTTGAAGGCTTGCTGCCTTCTAGGCTTGTGTGTGTGTGGTCTAGAGTTCTGAGTTTCTTGGGCACATTTGGTTATAGACAAATTAATACAGGCAAGAATAAGTCATTGATACAAAACAGATAATTTTGTGAGAAAGCAGACCATCAGATGTTAATAGAAGCCATTGGCATGTGAGTGTTCTGTCAGGAACTGGGTGCGTCTGTTCTGTGATGGCAGCATGCCCACACCATAAGCATGGTTATGGAATGCTAGAAAAACATCCCCACATATGTTAACCATGATACTATAATACAATATTAATGCATATGGGGATGTGTGTCTAGGCCTCCCTCATGGTATGAGCATATCACCACTGCACCTAATTTCTTGCTGAACACTCGCATGCCAATGGATTTCATTATTTTCTTTGTTAGATTACATAAAGCAGGCCATCAAACTATCTGTTCAATTCTCCTTTGTTAATGACAGTCTTGCCCATAAATGTCCCACAAACTCAGTACTCAAGATCACAAGGTGCAGAAAAACCACACTCACATCCATGACTAGAATAATGTTAGGGAAACCTGTGATGTCCTGCCAGGCCAGCATTAATTTTTGTATCAAAATGCCTAATTTGGACAGGTATTATTTCAACATTAAAGTATGCCAGGTTCCTCCACCTGGAATACCTTAATAACAAGCACTATAAGGCAAAGTAAGTAGTTGCAAAGTCACCATGTAGTCACTGAAGGTAAATGATAGGGTAGCTTTAAAAATAAATTGATATGTAAATGATTGGAGAAGGACCTGCCCAGCATGAGCCAGTTAAAAAAAAAACATATCACAGACGAGGATAAAACCCGCGATCAGACTCTGATCGCGGGTTCTATCCCCGTCCATGGTATGGTTTGTTTGCAGTCGTGTCATTACGATTTCGTGAGTCATGAGCCAGTAGGCCAACTGCAGTGTTCACATGATGGCTGTGTCCTGAGCAATGTGTGTGCTTCTTAAACAAGTGTGCCAAGATGACAGTGTAACTTCCTAAACTACAGTGGTATTTGTTACTTCTATCTGGGATACTTCTGAACGTTGGCTCCCTGGTGACCAGCTGGGCTCTGTTCCATTAAATATCCCTATTTGTGTATACATCATGCCAGCATTATTTTGGTCATCCTCATTACATGTGTTCCTTAAGCATGGTATGGCATAAACACCAGTAAGCCATTTTCTAGCAAGATCAAGAGGGAAGTAGCGAGTAGACCTTTTCTGATAGTTATGTATATCTGGTCCTGCTTTACTCAAGGAGAACTGCACTTACATTCTAGAAACTTTCACACATCTTCAGTATCCCATATTTATCCATGAATGCAAATGATGAGTTCAGACCATCTTAAATCACCTTCAGAAACCATTACAAAGAGGTACTTGATCTTCCCGTGTAGCAAACAACACCCTTAGAGTACTTGGCAAGGGTGGTATCAACATAGCCATGATAACTACCACCTCCCTCAGAGCTCTGACCAGAATAGACATCAGCAATATCTACTGCTGGCATATGTGATCACGGCAACTGGTAGTTTATCAAGGGCCAAAGAACCATGTATCATTGATGACCAAAATAATGTCTATGTGATTTACAGAGGGATATGGAATGAAGTACAGCTGGTCATCAGGGAGCCAGATTTCAGTTGCCAGTGTTTCGAAGCATCCCATGTAGTAGCAACAAATATAATAGTGCTGAAATAAGATAGTTACACTATCTGCCATGCAAGAACACTTGCTTCTCAAACATGCAGTGCCCAGCCATCAGGCCTGCTGACCTATGATAAGCAGGTCCTCAAATTCAACCCCTCTCATATTTGTCCAACCTATTTTTAAAGCTACCCAAGCTTTTATTTTCCTGATGAATTCAGCTCACCTGACTTCAACTTCTCATGTACCTTACCTCGTGTAAAGTTTCTTGTGCCCCGTGTATGTAGTGAACAAGGTCCCAAGATGAAAATGTATCCATAATAAAATGGCCTTAGTGTTTTCTCATCTATCTTCCACAACAATTTGTTAATATCATATGCCAAGTTTTTGTCAACATTAACAGTTAAAATTATATCTGAATTAATAAAAGCCACAATATAAAGTATCAAGTGCATAAATCCAGACCTCATAAGATTTAATTAGTACATGACTTATCTTTCTGACTACTGTATTTTCATTACTGAATGCAAGCAGTAAGGTACAAGAAGCAAATGCTAAAACGTATTTATTAGAAAACGTTTTGGTCTCAAGACATTGATCAATGTCCCAGGACCAAAACATTATCTAATAAATATGTTCTAGTATTTGCTTACATGTATTTCTAAACCAATTTGTATCTATTACTGTACCATGGTATGACATTAACACAAAAACAGTGAGCATGTTTCAGGATATTTAATGCAGATAAATCCATAATACTTGCCACCGAAAGATTGTGCTACATTGGGTTCAGCATCCCTGCTAATATAAATATAATCACAACAATTTATAATGTTTATAAATTTGAATTGTACCTTTTAAGACTTGTAGCTACCAAGTCAAGCAACATAAGGTTTATTCTTAAGTAATAAAGGCATCAAAGGCTTGTTTGATGGGGGTACCCTGGTTTGGTCAGTCCTCTAACTTTATAAAGTATATTTTAAATATGAAAGTCCTTTATATCCTGTGAGCATTCAAGAGTTAATGACAGTGACATGAATGACTAACCTTTAAGTCTGCTCATTGCATGAGGCACTCTGTGTGAAGGAAAACTTTGAAGTAACAAGAATTTAAGAGGAAGAACACTGTAGCAGGCCTACTGACCCATACTTGGCAGGTCCACGTTAAATCCAAACCCACTAAAAAAAAAATATTCGCCCATAAGAGGTATAGTAATTTTTATAGCAATGTACAATGGTATAGAGCAAAAATAAATACACTTATGCAAAGGAAAATATATAGGGTGCAAGTCATTCCTCGAGTATATAGGAGTTATTACACTAGACTGGTCAATACTGCTACTGTCATTGATACATATATATTAAGGGTTCATGAAATCAAAAGTAAAGTTTCCCAACAATGGAATCATCCATGTGATGCTCAAAACATTATGATGTCATGACAAGCAAGGTGAAAACTCGTCATGTGGCGAGTGACCAACATGAGCATGATACTGCTAGAGTGTGTTGTGCAATGAGTGACCAAGTGGCCCTCTTGGTATGATCATTTTAAGTATGGTATTAATGTCATTACTCAATCTATTTTGGTTATTAAATACTAGAGTTTAAATGGCTACTTCTAGAACACAATTGATGCAGATCAGTCTCTAATGTCAATAAGGCAAAAATAATTGTAAGAAAAAACATTCATAATTTATGCCATAACTATTATCTCAACCTTACCTTATAGAGGAGAGGTTGAACTTTATGAATCATATTGATCAAGCCTGCTGTGTAAGCAAAATAGCTCTCAAAAAGATAGAGACTGTATGTTCATCAGCTAGATGACACTATATCTTTGAACTGATCCCCAGGATGCTGATAACAATGTTGGTATGATTAAGAGCACAAGAAACTGTTTTATGTTAAGCCGCAATGGAATTGCCAGATGTTTTCTATCAGTCAGGTGTGAGGAATCTATTCTTGCACGAATGTGAATTGGGCCCCACATGGAGAGATGCCTAATACCTTGCTTCCAACACTTATTCTGAGTTATTTCTTCACCCTATCTTAACAGACTGGAGGAAATAACTATTATTATTTTTTTATTATTATCACACTGGCCGATTCCCACCAAGGCAGGGTGGCCCGAAAAAGAAAAATTTTCACCATCATTCACTCCATCACTGTCTTGCCAGAAGGGTGCTTTACACTACAGTTTTTAAACTGCAACATTAAACACCCCTCCTTCAGAGTGCAGGCACTGTACTTCCCATCTCCAGGACTCAAGTCCGGCCTGCCGGTTTCCTGAATTTCCCTTCATAAATGTTACTTTGCTCACACTCCAACAGCACGTCAAGTATTAAAAACCATTTGTCTCCATTCACTCCTTCAAACACGCTCACGCATGCCTGCGGAAGTCCAAGCCCCTCGCACACAAAACCTCCTTTACCCCCTCCCTCCCAAACCCCTTTCCCAGGCCGACCCCTACCCCGCCTTTCCCTTTCCCCTACAGACTGATACACTCTTGAAGTTATTCTGTTTCGCTCCATCTCTCTACATGTCCGAACCACCT